TAGCCAGAATTGAAGGAGCCGACTGAAGTTATTTGCTTATGCCTCTAAATACAAACAGACCCTTTTGAACACAAACATCTCATTAGGTTTGGATGTTTTTTTAATGTAATTTTGTGGTGATGTAGATATGTCCAGGGGAGGACAATTGTATCATAGCATTGGTAAGTACCATGCTACCAGTCCTTATTTATTGGCTCTTAAAAGCTTTCAGTAATAATGTAGTGATCCACATAAATAAAATGCTGAGTAAAGAATAACACATCTATCCAATATGGGAGTTTTCCAGATGACCTTATTGTCAAGTCAAAAGTTTGTTGATATTCTCAGTGTTCCTTGTCCATTAAGCTCTCCACCACTCATCCAGGAAGCTTTCTGACTTGAATACCATAAAGAACGTAATGCTGGCTTGTCTTAAAAGTGTGGTTTCCTAGGCAGATTGAAGCAACATTTTCATCAAATTGAAATGCTAATGTTTCTTAGGAATAATAGTAATAAATTTGAGAAAGGATCCAAATGGCTCTTTACTCTGGGGAAAGTGTCTTTATCTCAATTGTAGGGATACTGATTCTGTTAAGAAATAAAATGTATTACCAATATCCTTGTCTTTAGTTATACTCATCTGTTTATTTTATAAGAAATGTAATAGTTACATCTCTAAGATAAAAAAATAATATAACTCAATTATTTTTTAAAACATTGATTTTTATTAATTTCTCACTTAATACCCATTCCTAATTTTGAAAGAACGCTATTTTAATATTTTGAAAATGATAAGAGTGCTATTTATAGTACTACCATTACAGAGATTTTCATGTGACTCATATGCTGCTTGGTTCCAGTTTATCTGAAAGTCTTTGTATACAGCTGTTCACATGATCATCTGTTAGAGTTATTCACAATATATGAATAGAAAGTCAGAAGGAGGAGCTATATGTCCTGCATACATAAAGGATGGAGATTTTCAGTGAAGTTCTGCATACCACATAATGAATTCAGTTCATGAGTACTTTAGATAATGGTTCAAAATCTGTTCTGGTTCAGAAAAAAATAATAATGTTTTTGTTTTAAATTTGAAATCGACTGAAAATATAGAGGGCTAAGAACACAACATTTGAAAGCAGACTTTCCCATCAAACAAATGCCTCTTTTAACTTTCTAATATTTTTAAGCGTATTGTTTGAATTCTTAAGCTTTTACATTTGAGATTCTTTACATTCTTGTATGGCATCTAATTAAAAGACTCTTGTGAGTCAAGATATTCCCATTTCTAATCTCATCATTGTCTTGAATTCACTAGGAATATGAAAAGCTTAATCAGATTTTATCTGTAGCTTCTATGTTTTTGAATTCAGTAAAGAGACCACGTGTTAATTTCTATTTATTTGTTACTAAAAGTGGATAGTTGAAATGAAAAGGATTCATAAGTAAGGGCTATTCTTTTGCGTTAGAATTTTAGAACAATATTGTGGGGTTTTTGTGAGACACGGTTTTTATTAAGAATTTTGATTATAATAGTAAAATCTATTGTAAACCAATCTTAAAGAAAGAGAAGTGAATAGAAAACAGTAAAAAGTGAAAAAAAGAGAAAAGAATATAATAGAGGAGGAATATATATATATACCGGTATATGTCCTTAATGGTTGCAAAAATGCGATATATATATATATATATATATATATCCAGCCATCATCAAAATAAATAAAAACAAATTAATGACTTTTCACCTCCTCTAAATTTAGAAACATTTATCTCTTCATTCCATATCCCCTTGCTTATTTATAAACAAATCCACAAAACATTGATAATGTTGGTGTTAGCAGAAAGTCCATAAAGGATCGCCAGAAATTATAACATCTTTTTTTAACCTAGATCCGTGGTGGCAAATCTATGGCACGTGTGCCACAGGTGGCACGCAGAGCCCTCTCTGTGGGCACGAGCACCGTCGCCCCAATCCTAGGCCTTCAGCTGGGTTTTATAAAACCTTTTCACTTAAGGCCTCCACCACCATGTGCAAAGAAAAAAAAGTTCAATCAACCAATCAATTTCAATTTCTCACAAAAAAAAAGATCTCACAAAGTTGGAATTGATTGATTGAACTTTTTAGTCCCACCCAGTCTGCTGTTACCACCGCAGCCACGCCCACCCAATGGGGCACGCCCACCCAATGGGGCACGCCCACCCAATGGGGCACGCCCATCCAGTACCCAATGATACATAAGTGGGTTTTGGGTTGCAGTTTGGGCACTCAGTCTCTAAAAGGTTCACCATCAATGACCCTAGATCAAATAAACCAACTTTACATTCTTTCCTTTTATTTCTAACAGGCTTGACTTTTAGTTTATTCAGATATTGTAGGATTTGGTTTCTCTTCATTTCTTCTTTGTTGCATCACACAGAACATTTCAAAGCTCTAACAAGCCTCTTTAAATCTAATAGGAAAAAGTTATCTAAGTCACTCTCTTGGTTTATCATTTGCATTTCCCTTTTAAATTTTACAACCTCAGCCAGTTTCTTTTGTAAAATCTAATAAAACACCCTTTTCTAAGTCATTATCTTGCCCTGTCAGTTGTAAATTCACTTTCAATGCCATCTCTATTTTGTCAGATGAAATTTGTTTTATGTTTGTTATTTCTTCAACAATGTAGAAACAGATATTACTGTCATTGTTGAAATTGTAGTTACTATTGTCTGTTTCTCTTCAAAGTTTCCTTCAATATTTCATTGTTAAACATTTTGCAACATTTGATAAGCTTATACCTAAAAATGTTAGCTAGTATCCAATTTTTGAAATCCTGAAATTGCTTATCTTTATCTTGTAAAAACCAAAATAGAGAAGCTGCTTGTTTTTTAGAATTAATTCCAAGATCTTATGAAAAAGCTTCAATACTCGGATTTTACCTGGACCCCTTAGACAATTTATAACTTTTTAAGATTAAAAACTTATTTAGCTTTTTGCTGCTTATTTCAGTTTCTTTAAATATATAAGTTTATTATTATTATTATTTTAATCCACCAGGTGTTTTCAAACCCGTTGTTCTCTAATAGCTTAGAAGTAATTAATGAGAGGTTTCCAAAAGTGATTAGAAAGTGAGATCTGCGAATTTAAGTATCCTACAAAACTCTCTGTCTTGATTGTAAGCAAGAAGGCGGATCCCTTTGTCTCCCAGTGCTCAATCCAGGGAAAATTGCTATCCTCATGGACTCCTCATGAGGAGCAGCTGTTTGAAGTATATGTGGGCAATCTCCTGTCCTCTGTTTATCTGAATAGGTTCCAAGGATCTACTCACCAATTCCTTGGTCTTTGCTGCAGTCATTGGCTCTGCGTCTTCACCCTACCGTTCCCCAGAAGTCATCAAGAATCTTGTTAGTTTTGACTAAGGATCCAACTAATCTATATTTCTGCTTTCCACAATTAAGCAGATGGCCCCCAAGAAGGATATAAATGCAACATCTTACCTTTGCTGTCTTTCTCTAGCATCTGGAAATCAGATATTGGCTTCTTCTAAATATGAATGTTCTATAGAGCAGGGGTCCCCAATCCCCGGGCTGTGGACTGCCACTGGTCTGCAGCATGGCAGAAACTGGGCTGTGCAAATGAGCGAAACCCCATCCGCACATGCACGGTGTACAAGGCAGTGCGTGAAACCATCCCCCCTCGAGTTCACGGTCCCTGGTGCCCAAAAGGTTAAGGGCCACTGCTATAGAGCAGGGCTTTTCAACCTTTTCACCCATTGTACCACTTTTAGGATATGACAACATCCGAGTACCACCAGTCGCCTAGCAAGGTGTCAAAAACTTGATGACCCCCCCAAAAATGAAAAAAGTGATAAAGTACAGGTAGTCCTCGACTTACAACAGTTTGCTTAGTGACTCTTAGAAGTTACAGTGGCACTAAAAAAGTGCCCCCCCAAGCCACAGCCGAGCAAGACACCTGCCTGCCCACCTGGCGGCGCTCTTCCTCCTGTCCGAGGTTTTCATTGTGAGCATTTCTGTTGAGGATTGGCAGTGGGGGTGGGGTGGGGGGGGTGTTTGGTTTTTATTCCCCCCGTCTGCTGGGTGGTTGCAGCAGGTTTTGGTCACTTCACATGACCCTGGGACACTGTGACCGTCATAAATATGAATCAGTTGCCAAGCATCTGAATGTAAACCACAAGACCCCGGAGATGCTGCAACATTCCAGCTGATCAGCACTTCTTCTGGGCTCAGCAGAAGCGCCAGGATCAGCGCTGAGCTCCAGCTGGAGCCTGGCTCTGATCCTGGCGCTTCCACTGAGCCCTGACAGCCCTGCAGCTCCAGCCGTCTCTCGCTCAGGCTTGTGCGGTGCTGCCACCGGTTCAGCTCATTCCCCTCCCCCGCTACCACTTTTCTAGGATGGTCGCGTACCACCTGCCAGGTGCCAATGTACCACAGGTGATACCCGTACCACCGGTTGAAAAGCCCTGCTATAGAGACAACATGACAAGCATCGGTTTCTACTTTTGCGTATTACTATATAAAATAGTACATAGTTTTTTTTGACATGGCTGCATACAAAATTTGAAGATAAATGATAAAGAAGCCTTATTATTCCCTTTTATTTCAAAATGCTGAAATGAAATAAAATTGGCCTATGGATTTGGAGGGATTGACCTCCTTCCATTTTGGAAGTGGATCTAGCTTCTCTGTTCCACTGAATGCAACTGGTAGTATTTAGCATAGCTTTCGTCATTCTGTGGTGCCCTGAGATAGGATTGCAATAGGTTGATCCAGTGTTGTGTAGATGATATAAACTGGATACTTTTCACACAAATGTATTCTTAGTTGGGGACAAATAGGAAGCATAGAATTTGTGTTGTGTTGATAAAATGTTTTAATAAAGGAGGTTAAGTTTCCTTTCTCTGCATTTGCAAACAATGTTTATTAAAGCAAATGACTCTTGAACTGACAGCCAACATAGATGATGTCACTTCCTAGATGTCCTGAAGCCACCTCTTTTTCTGTTGTTTTTTTTGTTGTTTCAGGACAAACACCATGATGCTGCTCACGAAATCATTGAGACAATTCGGTAGGTGTTAAGGCAAATATGCACTGCAAAGCTTTCTCTCCCTTATGCTCCCAGGGCTGCATCTCAAAACAGCAAGTGAGTCTTCTGATAGGGAAGAGATGAAGAATGGAAACTTGGTTCTCGTTAGGATTCTATACTTGGTGTGTAATCTCAAATTCTTACGATATGGTATGCTTTTCCACACAGACTTAAAATACCATTTCTGGGTTCCATTAAAAATAGTGAAACAAAAGAATATAGGATATATAGGACATATATTGTGGCAAACTATTATTTTGTTACCCTGGTTTATTGGCTGGATTCATTCGTGTTGCCAAATCATAAATTATGGTGAACAAACTATTTAACCTAGTCCAGGGGTAGGCAACCTTGGCTCTTTTATGACTCGTGGACTTCAACTCCCAGAATTCCTGAGCCAGCTGGCTCAGGAATTCTGGGAGTTGAAGTCCACAAGTCATAATGAGCCAAGGTTGCCTACCCCTGACCTAGTCACACAACATCCCAATCCAAAACTAAATCCCATTCTGATGTCGGAATGGGACAACTCGCCGCTGCCATCTTGCTGCGGCCAACACCGTGGGACAACTCGACATGGACAACTCGCCACGGGACAACAATTCAATTTAATTACTGAAAATAATTATATTTTTAAATTTTGTCATTCACATTTCATTTTGTTCCTCCCTTGGCATCTTTTCTTTAATGATTCTTTTTCACTATTTATTCGATATTAGTGTAACCCTTGTCCCACAGCGAGTTGTCCTACGGCCAGTTGGCCGTGGCGAGTTGTCGTAGACCCTCTGATGTAGTTCTCCTGTATGCATCATCTAGTCACAGACTGATTTAGTATAAGGGGGAGTAACTCGGCGGAGGTGATTGGCAGATTAACAACAAATTCCCCCCTCCTGCTCCCGCCCTCCCCATCTTTTAATTGGGGCGCAGTATTTGGATCCTTACAGTATTTTATTTATTTTAGCTTTTGTATCGTTTTTATCTTTTTAAGCTTGTAAGCTGCCCAGAATTACCCTGTGGTAAGACGGGCAGCCAGTAAATTTTGCAAACAAACCAATAAGGCAGCCTCTTCATTGCAGCCGTAGAGTTTCCAGCAATAGTCTTTCACATCATCTGCAATCTGATTCTTCGTGTATAAATTCTATGCTTTGCACTGGAGCTATATTCTTTTTCAGTTGAGGACATTCTTCAATGTTTCCCAGTGCCAAGAATAACAACGTATCTGGGTACAGGTTCAAAGGTGAACATGTACCTCAAGCGGTTTGGCTGCTAGTGAGGCAGATGATGCAATGTGTCTCCTTGGTTTTTTCCCTCAGTAATTATAACTGTGCATCTACTTTGGGAATTTGGATAATAGGCAATGGACTAGATTCTCTGTATCCCAGTTTAGTATACATTGCTTCCAGTTCATCCTTTTTATCCTAGGACATAGGGAGGCATGGGATCTTTGTTCATTATTCAGGTTGTGTAGGTCTGGATGCTGACAATATTTCTGACTAGTCTGCAGGTTGCTCAAGTGTGCTATATTCTGAAAGTGTGCATTAAAAGTAGGTTTAACCTGTCCTCTGAACAACAGATTTATTACTGTTATGTGTAAGGCCTATAAAGCTTGAAATACATTCACTAAAGATTATCATATCCTACCATAGTTGTATAGCAGTGATGGCGAACCTTTTAGAGACCGAGTGCTCGAAATCCGGCCCTGCCCCCCACTCCGCCCCCTGCCCACCCCGTTCCATCCCCGTGCCCCGCCTGCCCTAGGGCCACCCACTGCCTCCACGGCCTGCCGCAAATCACCCAGGTGGCCCAGCAGCGCCATGGCAGTCCCCCCTCTGCCTACGCCCCGCAGCATCAACTGCGCGCAACGGGGCGTGACGGCGGAGTCTTGTCTCCGCTGCCCAGCTGCCATGTCCTTGGCTGTGCTGCTCTGCACGGGCCGCGCTTGGAGGCGACTTTCCTCCGGGGGACTTCAAGTGAGGAGAGGGGGGAGGCGGGGCTGGAGCAACGGCGCAGGTGCCCACAGAGGGCTCTGAGTGCCACCTCTGGCACGCATGCCTTAGGTTCGCCACCACTGTTGTATAGGATCAGAGCAGATCCGTTTGTAACTTTTACAGACTGATGGTTAGTTTGTCAGGATTAGGTTTAGAGAAATGAAATTTGTAGACGTTCTGAAACTGGAGGAAAAAGCAGATTTTTAAGGACACATTGAAATAAATTAGATATGAACTTAATACACTTCAAACACAAATGAACTTAAAATGAATGCATCATTAACATATTTATGAAATTTACAGAATACGTTACAGTCTACAATTGTTTTAATGGTGCTTATAATTTGAGCAAAACACAGAGGCAACCTAAAACTATGGACATCCTATTTTTGTTCAGAAGAGAGAAAAAGTGTGCAACAAACTCCTCCCCTCCTCCTCCTCCTCCTCCTCCTCATCATCATCATCATTGCACATATGTGCTTGTACATGCACATGTGCTTATCCATACACACTCCTTTGGCAGGAACATTACTATTGAGAGCAGGACTTTCTCTGCTAACTAGTGACAAAACAGAGATTTTACCTCAAAAGAGGAAACCAAGTATGTTGCTTTGAATATTAATGGGGCCAGAAAAGATTCAGTCCTTCATGTATGGGAATTAGTTCACCTTTGGTCCAATAGCTTGATTTTAGTAGTCCAGCAATTGTCTTAAATAGCTGCTCAAATAATCTTAGCTGGATTCTGTCAGAAACTTCCTTCTAACTATGCCTATTGTTGTACCTCTTTCTGATTGCATTAAGTAGCATTCTTTCAAAAGATCTCATTGACTCTGCTATGAATCACAAATGGCTATCTTGTAGGAAAACCACTGAATCTAAGCCTTCAGATAACTCCTTTCTTTGGCCCAGAGGGATGTGGTTTTAAGTTTCTTGGGCAAAGCAGCATTGCCTCATTCCCATTGCTGTTGCCTTCTAGCATTGTTGATGCAATACAGACGATAATCTTTTATGGGACTCTCAAGTGAAGGATAAGCTCCAAATTGCCTTGCCCAATAACTGGTCCCTCTGTCTGACACAACCTAGCTATTTAGAATATTATCAGTTTTTGAGGCTAAGGCTTATCAAGACAATTCACTGAGAAGAAAGCAAAAACATAGGTACCTCTAAGAGTTCCTTCCCTAGGTCTTCCATGAGTCAGTTTAGTCTAGTGCAGGGGTGGTCAACCTTGGCTCTTTTATGACTCGTGGACTTCAACTCCCAGAATTCCTGAGCCAGCCACGCTGAGGGGAAAGGGAGAGGTTTCCAAGCTGAGCCATGCTGGCTCAGGAATTCTGGAAGTTGAAGTCCACGAGTCATAAAAGAGCCAAGGTTGCCTACCCCTGGTCTAGTGGTTAAGGCACCAAACTAGAAAATGGGAGATCATGTCCCAACTTAGCATGAAAGCCAGCTGGGGGACTTCAGGCCAATACTTTTCTCTCAGCCCAACCCACCTCACAGGGTTGTTATGGGGAAAATGGGGGGAGGAAGGAGTGCACATTCACTGCCTTGAATTATTTGTAAAAATAATAAAGATGGAATATAAATAAATAAAACAATAACTATGCATGATATGGAGATTCTCACTCGTCCAGGTCATGGTTGTCCCAAAGGTGCTTTTTTCAAGAGGCAACTGGTCTCTCAACAGAGGGTGAGGGATACGACATCATCTATCTCCAGTCTACAACGCTGTCTTTTCAGCAGTTCCAAGAAGGTTCCCACACCCATCTGCATTACTCAGGTGACCCTGAAGACACAGATAAACCTCCAAGCGGCCTCCTTGATTCTCTAAAAGAATGCAAATGACCAGCTGTCTGCAAGGAATATCAATCCTTCCATCCTCCAAAATTCAGTCAGAACTGAAAAAGCTTCTTGGATGAGAAGCGAAACGTCTTCAAAGAAAAACAAGAGCGTCCAGTTGCCTCTTGGAAAAAACACCCTTCAGATATGCATGATATGGGTCAAGGAAGAAGAGAGATGCAATAGAAAAAGTAGTTTCTCTTTCTGAGAATTTTCTGTGCGCCTCAAGACATAAACACAAATATATGGCTAATAAGTTAAAATAGAATCGGTAACTTATACTGCTCAAAACCAGTGACCATTGTCTCTCCAAAAGAGGAGTAGTAATTTGTGTGGGTTGCCTCTTATCTCATTGCAGTGCTTTTTTTGTAAAAAAAAAAAAAAAAAAAAGTGCCGGAACTCACACACGTCATACAACCCGCCTTGCCTACCCTACAAGGTTTACCTTTGTAGTTGAAAAAAAAACAACCTTCAATTTTTAGTGTATCTAAAAGACTAGGATTTTGTTCAAGGTAAATGTGGGGCATTTTCAAAAGCAAACGAAGATAGGAAGGGCAACAATAGGAAAAGAACGCAACTCTGGAAAATCTGTCGAAAAAAGGTGCCGGAATTCCGTTCCGGTGCGTTCTGTGACAAAAAAAAGCCCTGTCTCATTGTATCTTGTTTTGATATCACTTCTCCCCACTGTGTTAACCTGGTATCTCCAGGCTGAAAAAAACACCATTTTCCAGACTCTGCATCAGTAGAATGCAAGTTATATTGCTCTTTAAAGCTTCCATTGATATTACAGGGTAGGCCTACATGAGCTGCTTATGTTGGTTTTTTTAAGGACTAGCTGTTGGGGAGCAAGGCTAAAGGTTTTTTTTCTTGCAATAAGTTTTTGCTTGCCAGCATAAACATCTGTCCTTGCTGATGGCGATACGCAAACATTTTTTCTCCTTTAATTTAGAGTTCTCCCAGTGAATAACTATCACTTTAGTTTCTATTACCCCAAATCTTCAGCTTTTACAGTACAGGTAGTCCTCAACTTACAACCACAATTGAGCCCAACATTTCTGTTGTTAAGTCGATAAATTAGTAACCCAGTTGTTAAGTGAACCTGGCTTCCCCATTGACTTTGCTCGCAAAAGGTGATCACATGACTTTGGGACACAGCAACGGTCATAAGTATGAGTCAGTTTGCCAAGCATCTGAATTTCGATCACATGGTCCTGGGGATGCTACAAAGGTCATAACTGAAAAACAGTCATAAGTCACATTGTTCAGCGGTCACTAAAACTATTGTAAGTTGAGGACTTACCTGTATTTAGCATTGCTGCTTTGTTGCAGCATTGCAAAAAAACAAAATGTTGTGCACATCAGGAAGGAGGAGCCATACCTCAGTAGTTAACATCTGCTCTGAATGAGGAAGTCCAAGATGGCAATCCCTGGCAGTCTCCCAATTCCAAGGATGTGGGGTAGCGGGCAGGTGGTGGTGATGGAAATGCCACTTAGTACTATCAGATTAGACCACGTTGGTCTCGGTGGGCTTATATTATCTGGCAAGGTTCTTATTTCAAATAAGTGAGAGCAACTGAGCATTTAGTTGTTTGCATTATTCCTCGTGGATGTTGTTAAGGAGTGTTCCTGAAAAAATATGCATAAAATAGATTAGTAGAAGGTCCCCTTTCCACCCCATCTATGCACTGGTTCTTTTGATCTGTTTTAATACTAATTTTAACATTTTAACTTTTAATGAATGATGTTTTAATGTTTTAATACAGTAATTATTTTATTCTATTAATTATGGTATTGTAAGCTGCCCAGTTGCTTGGTAGAGAGACGGGTGGCGTACAGATTTCATAAATAAAATAGTAAAGTTTAACTACTTTAAATTTATTTCTTGGAGATTTGAAAATAGCTATTACTCTGAATACCTGATAAGTGAGAATATTTCTTTGCTTTAGTTCAGGGTTAGGCAACCTTGGCTCTTTTATGACTCGTGGACTTCAGCTCTCAGAATTCCTGAGCCAGCATGGCTCAGCTTGGAAACCTCTCCCTTTCCCCTCAGCATGGCTGCTCAGGAATTCTGGGAGTTGAAGTCCACGAGTCATAAAAGAGCCAAGGTTGCCTACCCCTGCTTTAGTTGAATAAACATTCTTTTTTTTTTTCTCAGACTGCCAGTGAGCCGCAAATGATGAATTGTAAATGTATTTGGACTGGCAGGGATCTATATATACCCAGAAAGTAATACAGGAATTTAGGAGATTTGTTTGTAAGATTAATTGATTTTCTTTGTTTTTTGTTTTTCAGGTGGGTCTGTGAAGAAATTCCAGACCTCAAGCTTGCTATGGAAAACTATGTTTTAATTGACTATGATACTAAAAGGTGAGAAAGTGATAATCTATTTATTTCTTCAGTAGGGGTAACTTATTGTAGCAGGACTAAATGCAGCAATTACAGTAGGCTTGTGAATTACTGTTGCAGTTACAAAAGGCATTTGGATAATTGATACCTGGTATAGAATTAGTCTCCAGATTCTGTAAAAATAATTTTTAAAAAATATAAATAATGCTTTTGAATATTTCTGTTATATTTTACCATGAATACAGCAGCTGTTTACATAATACAGGTAATCTTTG